GTAACGGAAAAAGCGCTGAAAATCCATCCACAGCATTTCGTTGGGCAGTACTATGATTTATTTATTCATTTTCTCTGTTGTGTATTTTAACTTTCATTCAGATATCTTTTAACCACACTTTGTGTTCTTTAGTCCTCCTCGTCTGGGCTTTTATTATGCGACTTTGACCAAAGACATACCTTTCGTTACCTAATTTTTCTGTTGCATGTTACCGAACTATTGACAATAAGGTCGTGTTTGACCAAGCTCAGGGTCACAGCGTGGTTCATTTTGTAACTATTAATCTTTCACTGTCTGGTTGGGAAATTTTCTTGAATTCCCGAGGGTAGATAACTGATACCATCTTGTTGGGAATATTTTTAGCGGTTCTCAGCACGTTATATTGTGCCAGAGAAACCCTTAACTGTATAGCACAAGCTGAACCGTTGGAGGTATTTGGTATTATATATATGTATATAATCTTTCTTCAATTAGAACTGTTTAAATTGAGCACAGGGTTTGTGTTTTGATATAATTCAATACGAGTAAATCAAAAACTCTTTGTACGTTAAACAGAAGATGGTAGTCTGGTCTAATCGAATAACATTTTGTTCGTTGATTCTGCGTTTAAACGAAATATTAGCGTTTCCGTTGTTACGCAAACACTTAGATTCGTCATTCCCCCTAAACGCTTTGCAGCCATTTACATAATCTTCAACGATGATTTACTTTAAGTTCTGTGTAATACATATACATATTCTGTCTCACAAACATGGTTATTGAAACACATACACATGGTATTTGACATTGACTTAATTGCACAACAAGGGCGGCCTGGTTGAGCATCTGGGCTACCTGTTCCTGCCATCCAGATATTTCAACAAGTTACCTATTTTTGTTTGTTTTAATATATCAATATGTTTATTAATCGCATGATGTATTCTGCTGCGTTTCTGAAAAGTGTACAACCTTTCGTTGTCAAAGTTACAAAAAACTCAATAAGAGCCAATGTGGTTGCTGGCAATATAGAGCGAAAAGAATGCACATTATTCAGATTTTCATTTACTGAACTGCTAACATCTAACTGGCGATCACTCAATATTTATCGCCAGGACCGACCAAGAAGAAAGAAACGGAGACTTGTTGAAATACTTTACGCTGAGAATTCTATATTGTACCAAAAATATAATAGTGAATAGAGCTGATAATAGTAATAATATTCTTTCAGACATTACAGAACCTGTTATACTACTATAAACGTTATACAAATGTCGTTGAAACTCTTGCGTAAAGCTGCATTTATGACGGAACCTGAAATTGTTTCCTCACGACACTAACGCGAATAAGGTGTTTCATAACAATACTACTGCAAATAGTAATGGCAATAGTGATAGTGAAAACGATAATAATCAGGAAGGAGGTAGATCCTACACACGGAAGTCATTTGTCATAATGACAGACTCACGTAGTTCTTCATAGTCATAAAATCCATTGGGTAACATTGAGATACAAGAGAAGCTTATTCATCTACGGAATTCATGCACAAATATAGGGTCACTTTGATAACTAGGTAGTTGCACATTTTGCATATGTCCGCACTAAGTTGTTCTTTTACGTCGCTGGCTTCTCCCCTGTCTGGAATATATGCTCCTGCTCTTTGTTGGTTTTCTGTGTCAAGGCGTCTACAATAGTGCTTGTGGCAGTCGTTTAGAACGAAGTACATTTATTTGGCCTCAGTGTTTTACTTTGAGATACGTCTAGGGTCCTTATTCTTGAATTTGAAGTTACTCCTGAATAGGGCAAGCGATTGGTGATAGGTTGTTGATAGTAACTCAATATCTTGCTCTTGGTACTACTACGTGTAGATTAAACCATGGTAATATGGTGTAATAAAGTAGATGATTACAGCTGTACCTGTGATAGTTACTTACATACTTACTTACACCTGTTACTCCTCGTGAAGGAGCATAGGCCTCTCACCAGCATTCTCCATCCAGCCCTGTCCTGGGCAGTCCTTTCCAGCTCCTTCCAGTTCCTATTCATCATTTTCATATCTGCTTTTATTTCTCGACGTAATGTATTCTTCGGCCTTCCTCTTTTCCACTTCCCTTCAGGATTCCAAGTTAGGGCTTGCCTCGTGATGCACTTTTGTGATTTGCGTAATGTATGTCCTATCCATTTCCATCGTCTTTTCCTAATTTCCTCTTTAGCTGGAAGTTGGTTTGTTCTCTCCCACAGAAGGCTGTTGCTAATGGCATCCGGCCAATGGATGTTGGGTATCTTGCGTAGACAACTATTTATAAATAATTGTACCTTCTTGATTATGGTTGTAGTAGTTCTCCAAGTTTCAGCTCCATACAGCAGAACTGCCTTGACACTCGTATTGAAGATTCTGACTTTGATATTGGTTGAAAGTTGTTTTGAGTTCCATATATTCTTCAATTGTTAGAATGTGGCCCTTGCTTTGCCAATCCTCGCCTTTACGTCTGCATCTGATCCCCTTGTCCATTGATGATGCTTCCTAGGTATGTGAAGGATTTTATGCCTTCCAGAGTTTCGCCATCAAGAGATATTGGATTGCTGTTCTGCGTTTTGAATTTGAAGACCTTGGTTTTTCCCTTGTGTGTGTTGAGGCCTACTGATGCAGAGACTTCTGCTACACTGGCTGTCTTTATCCACATTTGTTCGTGTGTATGCGATAGGAGGGCTAGGTCATCTGCGAAGTCCAAATCGTCTAACTGTTTCTGAGCTGTCCACTGTATGCCGTGTTTTCCCCCAGATGTCTAGGTCTTCATAATCCAGTCGATCACCAGAAGAAAGAAGGAGAGAGTAGACAGCCTTGTCTGGCTCCGGTCCTTACTTGGAATGCATCTGTCAGCTGTCCTCCATGCGCGACCTTGCAATGTAGTCCGTCGTATGAGTTCCGGATAATGTTGATAGTATTGGATCATAATCACATGGTCTTTGAAGCTGTACATGCGAGAAGAGGACTTAACTTAAACGTTGAACACTTGGAGTAGATCAGAAAAGGTCAGGGTGGGAACCCCCAATCGAGACGGAATGGCTCAGAGATGAATGCGTAGATACTCTGTGTAACCACCTGTACTTTAAGTACATTATTCCATCCCCAGCTCAACTGTGTTCTTCAGGGGTTGATGAAAAATGCATTACTGGCTGTCAAGGTGAGACGAGTCGAATTACCCAAGGCCGTGACTTCTATATAGGATCTCATAAGTTAGATAACCATATCATGACAATTCTGCAGTACTGCATCGGATCTATGGTTCAATTAGCTCAACTCATAATGAGTAAAAGGTGTGCTTACAGTCCGTTCTATTATGTTGTGTCTCTAATTTCTGGGTGTTACCCCAAACTTTGTGTTGAGATTGAGCCTAAATAGTTGTTTGAGGAGGGGTCCAGCGGTGTTTAGGATGTTCTTAGTCGCTAGAAAGTCACCTGTGAGACACCTATACTCTAGTGAGTACAAATTCGATGATTTGAGGCGCTCTTCATAAGGTATGAATTTGACTTTCCGAACTGATTTCGTGGCTCGCCATCGGATACTTTCCTGTGTATTCTTGTCCTCTTGGAGTGAGAAGGAAACACGGTGTTTCCATTCTCTAAATGGAGTCGAATAAAACTGTTCAAGATAAGGTAGAAAGTTCTTTCATCATACTGACCAAAAGTGCACTTCAACCTTACCAGTGAAAGATTTGCTCGAAAAGGATTTTTGTCACAGTTATTGCAAGAATTCAGATTATAGGGCACCAACACTCTTGGGATACCTCTAGAGAAGGAGTTATTTAAGTTTTATTCGTGGTCTGCAGACGGATTACTTTACACTTTGGAATGTTGAAGATAATCCTGTTGGTGTTGAGTCAGGTCCTCATGAAGCTCCAGATTATCCTTTTGGTCGCAAACTTCTTTACAGAGTTTAAAAACATCAGCGAAAATTAGTTACTCTACTGTGGAAGATCGTTTATGGGAATTAAGAAAATATGTCTTAGTACTGAGGGTCGGTGGACCCCGATAGGACATTGCATAGCCTGAGAAAAATTGAAGTTAATATCGACCTTGAAAGATCGATCTTTTAGATATGAAGTAAGCCAATCAATCAATGGTGATTTGACGTCTAATCGTTTGAGCTTATCGATGTGACATGTGGAACATAGCTTATCAAAAGCTTTTGGAAATCAAGGTCCGTGACATCAACCTTCCCTTCGCGAACAAAGATAGTTGTTCATCTGCTCACCATGGTCGGCAGGTTGATCATACAGGAGTGAATCTTCCTGAAACTGTGCTGTTGGGGTTGAAGATGCCACAGGTGTTAGGAGTTTGACAACGCTTTAATCAGTAACACCTTCCATTATGAATCGTACCCACCAAGTGAAGTCAAAAGTCAAAGGTGAGGAGGTTCAAAGGTACATTTGGTAGGCTGTCAATATGTTGATGATTGACTGATCTAGACTGGCTAGCGATTGCAGGGGATGTTGAGCACGGCGTTCCCACTGGTGACCTTGTCCGGGGGCATGGCAGAGCACCGTCAGCCAGGTGAGCCCATTAAAACTAAGGTGGTCAGCATCGAATATCGAAAATTTGCAGAACTATTGATTTTGGGGATTTACTTACCGCTACTAGGTGAAAAGAAGTTTCACGGATACTAAGTAGTTACATAGACCACCGTATATATGAGAGACTAGATAACTCTTGAGGGTATATGTACTAAATTTTGATATTTTCAAGTTCCCGCGGGGAGGTTGATAAAAGAAGTTTATCCCTCAGTGTCCAAGATGCCTCCCCTATAATGCGAGCAAAGATTACAAGAAAGTAACAGTTGATTGTCCCGCATAGTAGATTTTTAAGTTTGAAAAATAGGACCTCATGAAACTCTTGGCATGAAAATTCAAGATGTCAAGAGCTGGTGATAGATTCGGCAGATAGTTTCACGTTGTTAAAGACAACAAATAGAGACACTTATGGTGTTTGATTTTGTTGGAATGAAGCGGATTGGATTAAATAACAATTCCGGCGGCATTTAGAGTGCTGGCGCGTCCAAGCATAGTCTCGAATTATTTTGTTCCCACTGGAGTTTCGCGCGTTATCTCGTTAGTTGTTGAGTTCTTATCTATCACTTTGTTGCATGCCAAATGTATTAAGAACTTTTGTTTATTCATTTGTGTATTGACTCCAGAAGTTGACGGGCTGGAGAGTATTTTTATTTTAATACCAGCTTCCAACTTAGGGAAACGCTTGAGGTTTTTTTTGTGAGGTTGTCAGAAAATTGGAAAGTCCATTACTTCATGTGCTTTGTTTGTGCCTGGCTTATTGTCATATGGTAGTTAATTGTTAGTGGAGCCATCTTTATCATCTAGGATATTTTAGTCTACCTACTCTACCATCTAGCTATTCATGGCTCTTTGGAGCATGTAGCGCTATACATAAACAAATTGGTAAGTGAACACGTTAGGTTTGTGTAGTTTGTTGAATCTTACGGGTGACTATATTTACAATCTTCATATACATGAATGGTGGTCGTCAGGTCTTATCTTTCCTTAGTGAGTACAGATAGAAACTAAGCGGTTTCAAGGGCAGTATAACTCACCTCTTTAATGTGGTCCCCTGTAGTATTTTACGCGGGTTATGGGATCTGTTTATCAAGAATAAAAGTTGGAAATCCTGGGTCTCTTTCTAAATTTTCTGTATTTACACGATTTATCTGTCCTTTTTGTTGCCTTTTTGGGTTCCATCATCCTACTATTCAACCTTCACCACTCTTAGCATCACATTTCATCGTTTACGCACACAAGGTTTTGTCAACTTCATCTCGTACCAGGCAAAGAACGAGTACTCTGTGCAGCACTCTGCTCTGCTGTACTTTGTGGGTATGAACCATAAAGATTAGGAATGATGAATATTTGTAAGTTATTGGTATTTAGTTATAGTTTTCGTCAAAGTGTCCCTGCTTACTTTCGAACCACCAAGTGAGATGTAGTGAAGTTAGGGATAGGGTAAAAGGTAAATGTAAAAATTTGTTAGTCAGTTAATGAGTCTTCCATTGATGTAATCAAGACATGTGTTACGTGTACTCAACTACCACGTTGGTGTAGGAATAGATTGAAAAGAGCTAGGGGTGGCCAGGCCAAAATATGGCATCAGTCCATGTTTTCAGGAACTGGGCCAAGCTCACAGATAAAGATTACCTGGTTGTGGTCCATGCAATTATCGCAACCAGTGTTTGGAGATGCTGTGCATGGTTTAAAATCGTTCTCGATGGCACAGGTATACTCACTTTTTGTCTTCCCTTGGAGTCTGAGTCCCGAAGTCTCCGTGTAATTTTCTCATTTCTATTCCTAATCTTTTCTACTGTTACTGCTTTTAATTCTCTTGGATGTCTTGGTAATTTTGTCTCGCTGCTAATAAAGTGTGACAACTCGGACCAGTAAATATATGACTGAACAAGACATATCAGTCAGCTACAACGTAGGACCAGGCACATACGTGCATTGGTCCAAGTTGCTATACCTCATTAGCACAACATGATGAACATCGAATTCATAGAAGTAGTTAATTCAATGGTGGTAATATATAAAAGAAAGATTGCATATAAGGACATAGTACAGGAAGGAAGAATTAGTTCATAGAAAGAAAGATGTGAAGCGATTTTAATCTCACGGTTTGAGGGAAGACAGAGAGTGTATACACCGACGCCATTGTGATCGGTTCTGAGCCATGTCACTTGTCAATGTACTTCCGAAACAATTATATTACGAAACTTTCTTATTGACCATTAAGTCCGACCGTTTTGCGCCACTTACTCCGGAGTTCGAAGTCTGCTTCAGTTAAGGAAACTATGAAGTGCCACTAGCTCACACCTAGTGTTTCTTGTGCTTAAATATCTGGTAAATGACTTAATTTGTCATATTTACTTCGTAACTATAATCACTGCTTTGAATGTAGGAAAAAGTTAGCTTATATGTACTCAATCACAAATGTATCGTTGCTTGTGTGTGTTTGAATAATTCACTAAAAGGCACTCATTAAACACGAAGTATTTCTACTTTTATTGAGATGGAAATGGACTTAGCTTAGGAAAGTGATGGTTGACTAATGGCAGGGAATTTTGATTGTAGAGCAAAATATGAAAGGCCAAACAGTATTTTAATTCATCAGGTGTGATACTAAATGTTTCAAAGTGGGGATTCAAAAATGGCACGATTAGGCTTATGTCTAAAAATACGGAGCTTTGGATTGATGAGTCTAAAATTTGGTAACACACTGAAGGTCATTTTGCAAAAGCATCTCAGGTAGGGACAACAATCACTACTTATCATTAAAGTTAAATAACATCCCATCTGTCTATTGTACAATTTCTCCTCAATGTCGTGCTGTCAACAGCACTGAAGAAAGTAAGTGATAGTGGTGGTAATGTCACTTGGGATAAGTTTCTTTTTAGCCTTGAGTATATTGATAATACTGTCTTGTCGTACGGTCACATAATAGCTACTCAGATTGTATCTGTCAGCTGGTCAATACACGTAATTATGGAACATTCTTCAGAAAGTGTGATGAGTTTATCGAACAAGTTCATAAGACTTAGGAATTCCCAAAATATTAGTCGCATATTTAATAATTCAGCAAGTGACCATGATTCTGTTTATTCTTTCCATATAATAATGTGAATAATATGTCTATTTGAAGCAATAATCTGAATGCAATTCTATAGTGACACTTCTCGTTCTTAGTTTCTAAACCCATATGTGAGCGCTACTTAACTGTAATTGAGATGAATAAAACATTAACCGTTTTATCATTTGAGTTGTATTTTTTTAATATTATCGTGATTATTACTACCACATGCCTTCCGTTCCTTCACAACATCGTTTCGTTTTATATGGCACATTTTGGTGGTGATTTTATATCAAGCTCTCACTTTGTAAACAAATTTATGGTGCTTACATCATTGTTCTCACCTTATGTATATTTTAATATTATGATGGTTTGATTCCATGTGTAATTATATGCTCTTCAAATTAGCTGTTTTTAAACTGGGACTCTGTAGCATGGTATTCTGAATGGCACTACAGGTAATACCAGGTAGCAGTTTTCTCTATACTTTAAATGCTTTAAAATGCTGGTTAAGCGTAAATGTATTTTTCGTGGTTTTGTTTTAACATTGTCTTTTGTAGATTGATTTGATAAAAATATATTTTGACGTCCTGTTATTTAATAATGTCAGCAAAACATTTCGCTTCCAAAGAAAAAGTATTGTCTTCGTAAAAATACTAGTTTTTAGTTATTCAAAATCTTAAAAGAATTTCAAGCACGGTTCAATTCTCCGTTCCGACTTGCTGAAGCGACTAGATGGTGTGAAAGCTACTTCCTACGTGAGGGTGGTAACGTCGAAACTGTTGGCGTGTTTTTTAGAATTTATCCTGAGTTTGGGATTCGTTTATCAGGTTGACCAAAACATGTTCTTTTCCAGATACTAGTAAGGTCTTATTTCTTTCCAGATATTTTTCTAGTTTTAACGTGAAAAGAATTGAGGAGTTTTTTAGCACCTTTTGCAGATTGACAAATGGAAGTTCCACAGAAGGTTAGTTTCACTTTTTCTATAAGGTTTAAGTTACCTTTAGCTGTTAGTTGGTTAAGTCTTTCGTTTCGTATTATTTCCCTGCTTAACAGTTATCAAAATCATATTAATTTGTGGGTCCTATCACAATGTTTTGTATACTGGGGGACTTGTGTTTAACCTACTGTCTAATATTAATAACAGAGTACAAAAAGGAAGTCATATCTAACATTCGTGAGTACTGTAGATGGTAAATGAGTTAATACAGAACAATTGTTCAACGAGACAAAACTCACTTATGAGAACTATTGAAGTTTCTTGTTTTCGTTATAACCACGTAAGTAGGCTGTGTTTATTGAAGTGACATAATTGTAAGTGGGCTTTTCTAGTTCAAGATGATTAAGGACATGGCCTTCGCTCCTGTCTTCTTGTATGTCTTCGGATATGTTGTTAGATGATATGATGAGTCAAATAATTCCGTATCTATATCGATTTCAAACTTAAGTAAATTAGGTTGTGTAGATCGCGTATTGGAATAAACTCTTCGTTTAATCCCAACCACAACACCACTACCCAGAAAAGTGTTCTAATCATTACTGGCTAGAATATTTCTCCGTAAGCTTTGGAAGTGAGTGCTAGATTGTTCTAGTTAATTTATATTTGTCTGATCATACATAAACTGTTATTCTATGTAGTTAACAATAGTTGATTCAAAAAGAGTAAAATGCTTAAGTTCTTAAATTATGTGGTGGTAGGATTGTGTTTATCTGTCATTCAGAAGATAATAGTTCTTGGAATCGTAGTAATTCATATAAAGAGGAATACTGGAGTTAGTTAACTGTTTCCTCTGATTGTACTTCACTGAGGAGTAGTAGCGTAGTGATTAAGGTCCTCAGCTTCTAGTTATTTAGTTGTCGGTTCGAACGCCGCTTCGCCTATTTTGATGACCCGATATTATCTATAGCTTTTGTATAAAATGGTTTGACTCATAGCTGAGTACAATTGAGTTGCATCTATTTTGTCTAAATTGAGGCAGTTTAATCCACTTTTATCAAAGTAACCAATTTTGATAAATGTTATCTTATTTATGCTGGACTACTATGAAACAACTTAAACCAATCTGCATATCAAATATTCCTACTTATTTTGTTCATTAATAATGTTTTCTGTTATTCATTATATAGGCAAAAGTCAGCTAAAAAGTGCTGATGAGTCCGGTATCCGATCTCTCGATAATTCTCAAGAAGATGTATTTGAAAATAACAGCTGTTGTAAATCTGTCTTAACCAATACAAAATCTCATTTATGGTTCGAAGAGATAATTAGACGGTAAACTACTAAAAATTGGTTTTTTACACTTAAACTTTAAAAATTTATAATCAGACTTATTCGTACAAAATAAAACACCATGGAGTAATATAATAATCATTTATCTACTTTATGTAGTTGAACATTTGAATTTTTCGCTAGCACAGTTTTTTCATTTTTCTTCATCTTTATTTTTATATGATCAGTTTGTCCTGCGTAATGGAAACAAATAGAAATGAGCTGATGTCAATAATGGGATCGTCGGACACTGATTCATCTACCTCATCACTGCCTAATGATTTTTCAATAGATATGGGTACTGCCGCTTACACAAACAGTATAGCGTTAGAAAATTGGCATAATTGCTTAAAGAATTCAACTGGGAAATTAGTCAGTCATGTGGCTATTACTTGTCTAGATGCATTGTCCAAATGTAAGCATCATTAATTATGAACTCAAACTATGGTTGTTTTTATAGGGCCAAATAATATCGGTCATCAATCAAAAGTTTGTGAAAGAAAACGTCTACCAAGTTCACTTCTATCCATTACAATTTCCCATTTGGAAAACTTTCAACATTGCTGCATCCCAAAGACAGCAGAATTACTTCTGGACCATATTTTTTGTGAGTTGATGATAATCTTTTGTGTATATATTTTAAACTATTTGTAGATAAGCTTTGCACTTTCTATAGATTATCATCTGTTCTAGGTCTAAAATTGAACAGTAAAAGTAAGGTGACAAGTATAGTCGAAATATTGTGTTTATAAGAGACGAACTTTCATTTATTTTTTATTTATTTAAACACTGATACAAATGAACACCAAAGTATGCTCCATTCAATAAAAATGAAATAGTGGGGAGATAAAGGAAGGTGAGAGTAGCAAGTGATAAGAAAAACCATTCACTTAAGAAAAATACAGTCAGAAAAGATTTTTTTCAGTTAAGGAGGTCCCTCTCACTTTCATGAAGAAAGCAAAGAAAATTACATTCGGATCAACACCGGTTTATATTCCGATCCATGTTTGATAAGATTTCAAGCCATTGAATTGCACTATCTCTAGGACTCCACTTCTGTCGTTTTGAATAATATTCGTGTTTAGTTTTTTTTCTATCATTGATATTACTATGATTTCCATTCTTGACTGCTCATCTTATCAATCTCATCTTACTGTATTGTTGGGGTTATGACAAGTTGGATGGTTTCACATTTATGCTACATCTTACATTGACTATAGCTGACTGGAACTGACAGTTAAAATATACTGTGGTGCATATTGTCTTACATTTTCAAAAATCTTTGTTTTCAATTGTATCTTCATTCATCTAATGATTTCCATACTTCAGAATCTGGTTGAGCTATTAGCTTTTTGTTGGTCTCATGTTCAGTAATAAGTCAAATAACGAGTTCCATGCTGATTGAATGTATTTTCTGTGGAGATTGCGAAAGTCCTGCTTATTTGAAACATTTTGTCCTTAATGTGTATATTTGTGCATTTAAGTTTGTGATCATAAGGTTAGTGTCTAAATAATTTTTTGTTAAGTCCAGAAATATGGTTGATAGTAACTGAATTAATCTTTGATCCAAGGTATAAAAGTTGTGTTTTCAACCTCTGAATACTTTTCATCATTCACAAATTGTCTAATTTTACAACTTAAAATAAATCCATTTCTAAATGAACTTTATTTTCATAATCAGTTTACCTTTATACTAATTAAGCTATTCATTCTTTTTTAAAATGTGTTTTCTATAAATCGAAATATATTATTCATATTTGGTGAATTAATAGTTATTATTGTCTAGAATTTAAGGTTAGTTTATATAAAACTATATTATATCGGGATCACTTCTAATCGTTTCTGTAATAACTAAGCACAAATCAACATCAATAATTATTATTAGTAATCAGTTGAGTTTCCATTTATATAATGGAACAGTCTAATACCTTTAGTTCTTTTTAAGAAAAGTAATGATTGGTGCGATTTTGTTTTTAGGCAGCTTTCCAGATGCGAAACTTTTAGCGACAATGAATAGTCTTCTTAAAGGTTGGATTAATTCCGTTTCAAGTAACGCCAATGACTTAAAGCCGTTTGAAAAGACATATTCTCCTAATGTGATAAGTTCACATGGTGGTGATAAAAATAATCTCCAAAATATTTCACTCCCACCTTTAACTACACCTTTAAGGGATACAAACAATTTGCATAAAAAAGTTTATGGACATTCATTATCTAAAGCTTTTACACCTGACGACAACTCATGTAAGTTTATGTATGTTTTATTATAATCTTAAATGTGCATCACAAAGTTAATGTTATTTTATTTTGTACCTAATAATTGTTTCAACGGAGGCTTGGTGCCTGTGCAATAATGTGTAGTCGAACATTTGACCTGATTATCCTAGCTTTTCGAAAACACTGGAGTTTTTTGTCATCTGTTAGTCTGTGTTTCCATTATTCTCATTTCTTTACGCATATTTCTTTCAAGTGACACCTGTGTTTTATATCCATGTCGGAGCAATGGAATCACATCTAGCGTTTATCGTTAGTTATACGTTTAAGCTAAATGTTCGTTTTATGGCATGTGATTTAGATGGGCAACTTACGTTTCAGTGATCATAGTCGGATTACATCACGAGATTGTTATGTTCAATAGTAGGAAATTTGTACGGTGTTGATCAATTCGGATCGTCTTATGTAACATCCATATTGAATACATATTTAGGGGAGAACTATCGTTGTCAGTCACTTCCATAATCATGTATAAATTAACTTATTATTGTGGCTAAATGTGTAGACCAAATACAGAAATTTGTATTTCAACGCACATGACAACGGCTCGACTTGATTCATTAAAAGTATTTATAGACTTGTCAGCAACCCTTTTTGCAACATTCTCGCCTAACTGTTCTTTTTCCGAGGTTTAAGTCACGCTCATTTTTCAAGGACATCGATGTTACACAGGCGCCTAAAACTAAGTATATTGGAGGTAAGGTCAAACTTGCTACCTTGTATTTGAAGGTTTAGTGCGTAGTCATTTCAAAATAAGTAGAATCGCTTTTATTCTGCGTTGCTGAAACTTGAAAAATTCAAAAATGAAAATAAAAATTATATACAAACGCAACTTCTTGTTATTTGTTAATTTTGACGTATGATATTTCTCTCAAGTTATTTTTTATCTTGTGAGCTGGTTAAACTGCACGTTATTTAAGTTGTTCGATACGATTATGTTCCATGTTTTAATTTATCATTGTAAAATATAATTATCTCCCTTTTTGCTAATGTTATAATTTCCCTTTAGTCACTGAATACCATCCTATTTCACCGATTGTAAACTGTCTAAGATTTGATGTAAGGGCATCTGATCCTGGTCACAACTGTGAAAATGTAAGCCTATTTTATTAGTATCAGTATACTTTAATGACTATACATATTTTCATTTTCGTACACTGAATTATTTTGTGAATGAATCGATTTCATTTTCTCGAATACATGAAATTTGTTGATTTATTCCTGTTTTGCGGTTTTTTCAAAAATTTAGTATATGAACTCGATACACGCTTACTTACTTAATCATTCGATGAAACACCATTAAAATGATAAGTTACCATTTTTTAAATTGGTTTTAGCTAGTCTTCTCATTTGTTCTATATTTGAGAAATAAACGGTAGATGGACTCTGGATATAATGTACTGTAAATAGTTGTGGAAAATCAAAGCTGTCAAGGGAATTTTCTATACTATCTTCGATGTGTTTTATTATTATTATTACTATTATTTATTATTATTAACTTTGTATTCCTGACCATTTCACAGAACACATGAGAATAACTGATGGAAAAGTATTAAGTTTTCCTGTGATGTAATTTCATTACGTGCGTAAAACAGAAAATTTCTCTAGTTAAGTTAAAAGCATTTGATAATTTATTTTTGAAAAATAATAGATAATTCAGATATTGGTGAAAACGATGATTGGTCAGTGGTTTGTTGATCATTCACATCATTTTTCTCATGTTTAATACATCAGTATTTGTATTTCTCAGTTTCTTTCTATTTATTATACAGATTAAATTGTATTTTCCTATATTCAGTCAAAGTTATGAACACCACATCTGATCATTTAGAAACGAAATTAGTCAAAGTGAATTCTAAATGGGTAAAATTCTTTTTTAAACACTTGTGTAAAATCATGTAAACATCAAGTCAGTCGTCATGAGATTTTATTGTCTATTTGTTTCGATTCAGTTAAGTAGTATGTTAATTCAAACGGGGAAATCAAGAAGTCACAGTGTCTCTGAACCAGTTCATCAGTGAGTTACCATGCAAAAAATGTATTATGTTGTTAACTTATGATTTACAAGATAAAAAATATTGATAACTAAATGTTATTTTTATCCGAAATTGATATTATGTTATACAATTGCTAAAGGTCATCGAACAACTGTTCCATTGTATTTTGAAGTGCTTGATGGTTATCAATCTACCACAACGCCATTCTGTACGACACAGTTTCATTTCGCTTATCATAATATAGAATTCTTTAATCCTTAGGGTTTCTTTATCTATAGTATCATGAACCAGTGGCTTAGTGATTAAACGACTCAATTTCCAACCGTTTCTTTAAAAGTTCGAATATTCTTCCATCTATAATAATTAAGATTACCGGGTAATATGACTTGCGCTCAATAACGCGAAGCTGTTCTGGTTATAAGTTACACATTTGTAAAAGCAGGTTATCACCATGATTATTTCCTGATGACTTATTTCTGTAACATACAGTTTCATTTAGGGTTGCTTGTAACCTGAATATTTTACAATAGTGGTGCCAGTAAACTAGAAGACAAACCTTCAGAACTTGTGATGAGCATAACAAATCAGTTAAAAGATATAGATTTTCACTGGGTGATTTTGTGTGTGGACGAGTATGGTTTCAACAATATATGTGCAGCATGCAGTTTTTAATGTATATAAACAAAGGCTTGATCTAATATAAATTTATGCGTGTGAATAAAGGAAGAAAGGAGCAAAAATAGTGAATATTATTCAAAAAAGTATATGTGCATATCTATAGTGAATGGAGTTAAACAAATTAAACCAACTGGCTACTAGTTATGACACTTCACAGTAAAAGCCGAGATCCTCCGGGAGTCATGAGGCCGATGCCTCTTTTACAAGCAGAACAACAGTTAGTATGGGTACATGGAATGTTCGAATAATGAGGAAGACCGAGAAAACCAGTCAAATAGCTACGGAAATGAGGAGATACAACTTATTGATGCCCGGAATAAGTGAATTCCATTAGACCAAAGCTGGATAAGAAAGATTAGCTTCGAGAGAGATGCTGTTAGACTCTGGTCTATAGAAGTAAATGCTTCGCACACGCAGAGAGATGCACTGATGCTGTCCGAAGAAACACGAAAAGCACTTATTGGATGGGAATTTCTTGGATGCAGAATTATCAAAGTGTCCTTCGAAAGAGAGAAGAAAATCACAATTAAGCTTATCCAGTGTTGTGCACTCACCAATGATATCAATGACCACGATGAAGAGCAGTTTCTTCAGGCTGCAGTCGACCATATATAAGTGCTCAGGAAATGATCTGATCATCACACTACAGACAACCAGACTGATCATTTCTGTATCATTAAAAAATTCAGAAGATCAATGGAAGACGTGAGAACCAAGAGAGGAGCCGACATAGAGTCAGATCACAGCCAACTGGTGGTTACCAAGATGAATCTGAAGCTTAAAAAGCACTGGACAACTGGAAAAATAGCATTATAAAGGTTCAATACAGCCTTACTTCGACATATTGTCAAACTCAACGAACTCAAGATAGCTCTCAACAACAGGTTCCGAGCCTTATAAGATCTACTGAAAGAAGGAACTAGTATGGAGAACAACTAGGAAGGAATCAAAGAAGCACTGACTTCAACAAGTCAAGAGGTTCCTGACAGCAAGAAGCATCATCATAAGGAATGGATCTCTATCGAAACCCTAGACAACAGTCAAGAAAAGAAGAACAAGAAGACAACAATTAACAGCAGTCGAACAAGAACAGATAAAGTCAAGGCACAAGCTGAATACACAAAAACAAGCAAGAAAGTGAAGAAGAGCTTTAGAGCCGAGAAGCAGAAATACGTGGAAGATCTAGCAATGACAGCATAAAAAGCTGTCAGAGAAGAAAATATCAAACAACTATATGACACGACGAAGAAACTGGTAGGGAAATATAGTAAACCATAAGGTAAAACACTTGGAGGAACTCTTGGATAGGCCAGATTCTTTGTACTATTTAGAATTTGGTTAATTTTAATATGGTTATTTATTCTTTGAGGAAGTGGCTTACACTGAGTCACGAAACGTCGGAAAGTCTAATTTTTCTACTTATTGGGATATTACAGACATGTTTTTTTATTTATAACAATCTACCCAATGCTCAATTTATCTGAAATTATCAAGTCAAACCTTGGTAATGATAATTAAAACCTTCCATGTGTTCATTTCACTTTGGGTTTTATGACATTTCCATACACGAATTCATCTTGTAAATATGATGGAATTTATGGGGAGTATGAAGTAATTCAGTTTAACCATTCAATGAATTATTACGTAAGAACTAAGTAAGCGGCATAGTTGGTGAAAAAATCATCCACAAAGATTTAAATGGTTAAAATGATAGTGAGTCGAACATCAATTGATTAATGTGAATAGTATGGCAAAGAAAGGAGATCTCAGAGCTTGTAAGAACTACAATTGCATCACACTGCTATCAATACCAGAAACGTTTCCAACAGTGCTATTGGCCCGGGTGGAAGATTCATAAACATCAAGCTTCTAGATCAACAGGCTGGATTCCATAAGGATCGGTCGTGCACAGACCAAATCGCGACACTACGGATCATCGTCGAGCGATTAATTGAATGGGACTTGTCACTACACATCAATGTCCTTGAGCATGAGAAGGCGTTTGACAGCGTGGATAGCAGAACATTATGGCAACGTCTTCGACACCATGGTGTACCTGAGAAGATCGTCATCATTATCCGGAACTCATACGACGGACCACAGTGCAAAGTCGTGCATGGAGAACAGCTGACAGACGCATTCCAAGTAAGGATCGGAGTCAAACAAGACTGCTTACTCTCCCCCAATCTTCTGGATTGTGAAGACCTTCACATCTCAGAGGAAGCACGGCATACATTGGACAGCTCGGAGTCAATTAGAAGATTTGAACTTCGCAGATGACCTGGCCTTCTATCCTATACACACAAACAAATGCAGACGAAGATAGCTAGTGTAGCAGTAGTAGTGCTTAACATACACAAGGGAAAAAGCATGATCCCCAAATACAAAATGGAGGACACAAACCGAATAATTATTGATGGGGAAACTCTGGAAGAAATGGATGCTCTCACATACGCAGACGGCATCATCGATGAACAAGAAAGATCCGATGCACACATAAAGGCTAAGATTGGCAAAGCAAGGGCTATAATTCTACATTTGAAGAATATATGGAACTCAAAATAAAGCAATATCAAAGTGAGGATCTCCAACACATACGTCAAGACAGTTCTACTGTACAGAGCTGGAACGTGCAGAACTACCATAACCATCATCAAATATGTTCGAGTATTTATAACTAGTTTTCTACACAAGATGCTCAATGTTGTTTTTTCATGCTACATGCGGTGATTATATTAATCAGTGGACCAAAATAGTATGGCACTAGTTCCCAATCGATTGGAGATTAAATGAATCGCTAAATGGCATTTTTTTTCTTTTGTGATATTTGAATCCGAAATATTTTTGCAATTTGTTTGTGTTGACTGAATTTAAATAATTGGGTGATGATTCTAATTACAACACATTTTCGTCCATTGAATTTCGTTTTTGAGTTTATTGTTCTTTAGTTATGTAAGAATGTTTGGGCTAACAGTAAGTTTATTGGAACAGTCATATCTAATTTTTTTCATAATAATACAATTTATATATCCCTTAACCGAATTCTGGGTTTTATTCAACCTTGGATACTTGCTAAGTACACTTCTGAAATTTGAGTTTTGTTAATTTTTACCCGTAGCCTACATCTATGTAGTAATCACATTTACTTTCAGTGAGTTGCATCACCTCAACGGATATAACACAACCAATCATCAAAGAGATTCTGGTAAATCTAACAATGATCGTAATTTTCCTACTACCTCATATACTCAACACTCGGATCGTGGTGCATATTGTTTATCTAATCGGATACCCAGTGATCCAATATCGTCTATCCAACACCATTGGCCGATCATAGAAAGTTATGATTTAGCTATTGCTTGTCAACTAGTTTTACTTTTTTTACCACCTGTAATGTTTTCCCGGTTAAAAATAATGGTTGATTTATTGCGTCGAGTTCTATCAAATCATGAACGCTTAGCTTCGTGGTTGGTAAACTATGGTTCACGTGAAAATAAGTCTGAAAACATTTTACCATCCGATACTCTATCATCGTTGGAAATTACATTGCATGTGGTAGGTTTCCGCATATATGACGATATCTGTTTTTTTTTCTTTAAAGAACATGTTTCATCTATGCTGTAATAAGTTGTTTTTACTTATTAAATGTAAATTAAGTCAAATAAAGTTTATGGTACATATAGAGCAAGTGTGTGTATTTGTTACTTCACAAGAGAACTGTACAAAATATTTCTGTTTAATTGGGTATGGAGTAATGGGTTGTTTAGGGTCCTGAGTAATAAAGAATCAAATATTGAAGAGTCTGGTTGATATGATTTAAAATCAACCTCAACCGACCTCAAATGCATGATGTAATTATTGTTATTCTTTATGTGCTGTGTTTGCTCTTACTTATATTTCATATCTTAATATCTTTTCACTACTTTCGTTTCTCTATTTCTGCACTGTTGCATTGTGTGACATCTTAAACCACTTCGTGTTAATGTAATGTGTTTGTCTGTCCTAATTACAACTGTGCATAACGATTTGTTTTAGTTTCATCCGAGGATTGTTTTTGTCCAAATGCAATGTTGTCTCATCATTTTCATGGTTTCGGTTCATTCATAAGTTAAATTAATTCAGTCGGCTAAATTTATCAACTGCCTAACAAAAAACCATCACCACCACAACAACCGTTCATTTCTAATTAAATGATGTGCATCACTCAATGTGTTTTATTCATTTCAATTTTTTATAACCCACTAATCAAGCGTAAGTTCATAAGAATTATTGTATATCACAGTTCATTTAAATTCTACTAATATTACCCGGTAACTCAAATGAAACTAAGTAGATCCTGTGGGTTCAGATTTTTACCCTACTGCCTAAAATGCTAGTTTCCCACTCATTATGCCATCTCTCTATACTTAGTATTCTGGTCACTATTAGTGCAAAAAGGTATGTGTGAAATAGATCCCGAGAGTCAAATGTGCACCGTTTCTCTTGCGAAGCCCATTTATTAGTCATATAACGAGTACTTAGTATCTATCAACAAAATCATCTATCGGTGTACAGCATTTATAGGGATAAGGTAATTAAATAAAAAAATACTGCAGTTGTTCATTTAACTTCTATCTGGAAAATTTTAATGTTTTTCATATTTTTAAGAAATTCTAATTTTTCCTCTTTTGTAAAAGAACTTTTTCTTAACCTACCTCTAATATTTCATGTAATAGTTTTGTTTTAATAGCTGAATCACACGTTCTTTTCTAACATAACTTAACCTCGTCAGTTCCTTTTTAATACAAATTACCATTTGTTTGATACATGTATTAGTAGAAGTAGTATGATATCTTGACATGTGGGGTTGTATGTCCATAATTTTCTAAAAATACATTTGTGTTTGTTATGTTAGATGGACAATGTGAATAGATTTTTTCTTTACATATGAATCTGTTGTCACTAAAAAGTCATATGAGTATTCGTTTTTTCTGTTACGAAAGAAAACGTTTCTATTATAAATATTACATTTCATGTTTTCGGTGTAAATGCATTAAATTCTGAATCATATTTTCATTAGCTTATTATTTAGTTATGACTTATGGTTCAGTAGTTATTTTATTCAGTTAATTTAGGTGTAAAATATGGTTCAAATCTGCGACCCAGTGGTCGAATGTCAAATCACCCTCTCTAGTGCACAGTAGTTAAAAGCGTGTCTTCTATTCTATCGACACTTTAAAAATCAGTAATAGAAATATGAGTTCGTCACCAAAAATATCTCGGTTTTTAAAATTTTTATGATATTTCATATTTCGAATATACAGTTTTATAGTTATGTAGAAATTTCAGTGTAATACAATTAAACATAAACAAATGACGAAACATAGTATAGACGTGTATTCATTGTCTGCATAATTAAGGAAGAATCAAATTTAAATAAACTGTTACTAAACCAACAGTATCACTAACAGTAGGAAAAAAATAATGTTAATAATGGCAAAATAAATGAGAAGTAGTAATATTAATATAAACTAGTAAAGCATACCATTTCGTATTAACTGGAGTTTTACAGTGGCTAACTGTAGATATCAGGATATTCTTTTCGTCCCTTTTGGGATTCGTCAGTTGGGTGTAACTGCATTCCAATGCTGGTGTTTACACTATGACTCTAACCCAGTAGCTTTCGCTTCGAACTACCGATACGATAATCAACCACCCGATATTTTTTAAGACTAGTAATCTCATGGCGCTTAATCAAAAGGTTTACATTTCAGTCTGTGGCTTGATATTCTTGTTTGATGTGATCATTCCCTTTTTCATTTCCCATCGAAGCACTCATTGTGCGTGCATGCCATATAAAATAAAATTTCGTCATTTCTTTGTATCAATTTATGCTGAGATATTTACTCTTCAATATATTTTTCCCCAAAGATTGTAAAACACTTCGGCCCACTACTTTTGCGTGTATCAAGTGATTCCGCTGTCAACAAAACAACTTCACGGATTCGTTGGAGAGAATGTCTTCTTTGTTTGTTACTTTGTGACCCGGAAAACTTCCTCTTAACATCACCCAATAGTTTACAGTCTTGTTTACGATCTGTAAATAATGATAATAATACGACAAGCGATAATATTAAACCAGAACAAGAAAATATTCTACACATTGAAGAGGTTAGTATTATGTTCATTGTCAAGATTTTTTGTAGTAAAATATTCATGACTGAATCATATTAAAAATGATAATAATTTTTCACGATTATTAATCCTCTCAATTATAATTTGTCGAATTATTGTTGCTACTCGCAATCAAGTGTTTTAGTAGTATAAACCTAGTCATTCATATATTTTAGACTCCCATCAATTTTATTAATTGTAGCAAGTAACTAGCTTTCTTATTTGTTCATTTTTAATCGATTTAGCTTATTGGATTAGATGGTATCAAGTCACAGGGTTCAAGAAAGTCCGGATTTGCTCGCTCATCATCGTCATCATCTTTACCAGCATTTATTCCACCAATCAGATCAGCATCTAGTATTAGTTTAGATGGTAGGTTGTCAAAATTAATTGGATCACGAGATAATCTAATCAAATTTGCATCGACTCCTACAAAAAATGGTAGAAGTAGCAGTTTACAAAACTCTCCACGTTCTACCGATACTTTCAGTTGTCGTCGTATATTTGATGAAAGTAATTTAGGTATTGGAAATCTAAGTATAAAATCACATTCTACACTTTTTATCAGTGAAGAGTCTTCTGGTCGGTTTGGTCGTTCCGGGAATTGGAGTGTAGAAAATTCTCTGATTGGTTTAAATTCAAGTATATTTTTTCAGGTATGTCCATGTTACTGATCTTTTGGTATTAGGTCATTATTAGTTACGTTTATTATCTACATGAGAGTTTTCTGGGGTTTCGGCAACACCTTGATGGGTTTACATTCATCGTCTGACCCTATGGAAATCAGTTTCTGAAGTTGTCCGTCAGCTCTCCTTATCCACTTGTCATGAAAATCGGTAAAATGTTTTATAAATCCCATCTAGACACCGAGAAATATTAAAACTAGTGTACTATAACACAAATAAAAGAAATTATAATTTACCTGGAGACAGTAGTAGTAGAAAACCCCAAACAATCCAGAACCACTGGACGTATAATGTAGAAAACCGTTTAGTGTTGTCTTGCGTCGCAGTTTCGTCCTGAAACGAAAAAAACATTTTTAAGTCAAATGCTGACTGATCTTTACGATAACCCATAATCTGAATGTAGTTCGAAACTTTTTATTATCATGAAAATAAGAGAGAGATAAGCTCCAAAAATAGTAAAATTACTGAATTATCCAATGTTATTATCGTTCACTTTAACATTCGATTAGATAGGAGAATGCTGTGTGATTTTGAAAGATTATAGTAATATGTCATTAGTTTTTATACAAAAATCAAATATCGAAAGGAAGTTATATGGTGATTGGTTATTAATTATTTCATAATGGAATACTATTGTTATATCTTTGCTCAGTCTTGACATTTGTTCAGTATTCAAATCATTTAAATGTAATCAACAATCACCGTAAAGGAGATCTGTATATAAAAGAAATATTTTTAACATAAAATATATTCGCAGTTGCAGTATAGGTTTTGTCTTCTTAATGTTTGGGGATTGAAACAAGGGGTTTCGGCGCATAGTGTGGAAGAGTAATTGTAGGTGTTCGTCCAGTTGCGATCACATTTCGTTCAATAATACGTTAGGTTTTGTGTACCAAAGTGCATAGCCTGGATTTTGTTTAAACAACCTAACAATCGTTGGTATCTCGCGCTGGCTAGTGTCAGCTGGGGCGACCAATTGGTTCGTTTTGATTTTCTCCAACCAGTTTATATTTTTAAAGGTTCATGAAGCGTTTTTCATTTTCATACCTTACCATTCGTGATTTTTTTAAAGTAAGAATTGTAATACTATTAATTAAATGTTCCATAATTTATCCTGCTCACTTTTTTGCAATTTTATAGTCTGATCTAGATCCCAAACGATTAGCTGCATTAGGTAATACAGCTCATTTGATCAAGCTTTTAAATCAGATTCTCAATGACCGTGACATGAATCCACGTAGAAAAATGAAATGTCTTCAAGATGTAAGTTCAAACTAATTTTGTTTACGAAGTACTGTTGTTTCCTACCATTTCGTTTTCGTATAAAAAATATATATTCTGAGGTGATGTAATACGAACGATAGTTTTTCTCAGTGTATTCAACAGTCAGGAATTACTTTTGTCATTCACTCATAATTATCTTACTGTTAAGAATTTACAAGAATTAATCCGGAAAGTTTTCTCATTTATACATTTATTTAATTTTCGTTACTTGTTTACATCTTCCAATGAACAGTTTCGCAAATCTCATCCAGATGTGTATTGGTTACGCTTTGGTACTGAAGAAAAAGCATCCAACTATTTATCCCGTTTACAACGTCGTATCGATTCACAAACTCAACCTAGTGTTTTTGAGCGGATTACAAATGCACTACGTCGTCGTCTTCAGAGTCCCGTCAAGCAACAGGATTAGCATCAGGACAGCTCTTGTACTTTGTATTTCGATTGTTTCATCTAAACATGTGGAAAATTTATTCGACTGCTACTTTTCTTGTAAATGGTCGTATATATCATCTAATATTTTTTAATCAGATTATAGATCACTATTTTTCTAAATGTTTGACTTGATGTTAGATGAGGTATAATATGTAGTAATTTACTATTGATATATTCATTAAAAGCGTCAGTTTTAATTAGTTCTTAGTAACAGTGTTTCCCAACTTCGTATTCGGACGATTTCAACTTACAAATTAAGCATATAACCTGAGATATTTCTCAAAGAATTTTTCACTATGTATATAAAGCGTGAATTGTTATAACTTTGGACTTCATAATTATCACTTAAGTCGTTTTGCACAGCAGTCAGTACTCATATAGCTATAGAGATACACGAACTTCCTGACTATTTCAGAAACTTATCGGGAAGGATGAGTACAAACAGGTTGCTTCTAATATTGGGGAACTTTACGTTCTAATATTGGTATGGCATTTCTGCACCTATCGGTTGTGATTGAATAAGTGATGTGACAACGTTCAGCAAAATGATAATTTGCCCACTTTTCCGCCCTAATTACAAATGTTCGTTGGGATGTATTCAATCCCAAGAAACTTGATAGTTTTCGCCAATGTGTATTTTATTATTATAGTCTACATGTTGAACAATCAACCATTTATATGAAATGTAAGATCTGGTACATATATAGATTGGTTAAAGTTGCCACACCCCATAAGGGCAGCGAGATAAAATTGTCAGGAAAAATCCCGCCAGTAGTAGGGTTAACGGTAAGATTAGGCATTAAAGATACGATTCCGGGATATATGAATTAGTGAAGTAAAAAAGTTTATGAAGAATATAGAATCTTAGGATCTAAGGGAAAACAAAGAATGAATGCACCTGCGCCATCGCGAATGATTCTAAGCCGTGCCACTCAAAATCTCTAACCATTGGTTACGAAAAGCACACAACACCCGGCAGTTTGCATTTATTTACAATAGTTAACCCCAAAAGTCAGTGTCTTCCGCTGGGCCTTGGTTTGATCACTCTTAGCTTTTTTTAAAACGTACTACATCAGTCATCGTGCATGAAGGTAGACAGTCGATAGGCTGCTTTAGTATGTCCCGACCACCTCAGTTGACGAGTATTTGCAGCTTAGTTTTTTCAAATCTTATGTCCGGTGTGTAACCTTAACATCGTCCACTCGAAGGTCCCAACAGTCTATAGAGGTGTTTCGAAGGCTTCTATGATCAAATAGTAGTAACCTACAAATATCCTCTATTTTTAAGGGTCACATTCCACAGCCATAAATTAAAACAGCGAATTGTTGAACAGTATACTCGTTGTGGTTGCTAAACGAACATCTTGCTTAAGCTACAAGTGACGTTACCCAGCCTATCATTAAGTTTAGACATTAAAGTAGATCAATCATGAAACTTTTTGTATTTAGGAGAGACAAATTCCAAACATAGTCGGCCAATCGCAGAACTGCATTTTGTCAGCGTCTTCAGCAAATGGGATTATGTATTCTAAATCTGGTACACCAATCTTTGAGAAGTTAGATGAGGAAGTATGTATGTGATAAGGTTGAATAAAATTCGGCGGAGTGATCAAGGCTAACACATACCGCTTGATAACAGTTTACTTAGACTCGAAAAATGGTGTTTGATTGAAGAGCCTGTACATGGTTGGGTTTATCTCGGTATGATTCTCAGTGCAGACACTTCAACAAAACCTCACGATCAGCGGAGTTGGATATTATTGACGTGAAGGAATAAAATTATAGATGGGCGTCGGTACGTATGTCTATTCCTTGAAACCTGAGGAAAAGTGGATATTTGTTCATCACTTCCAAGTTCAGGTTTAAAACTACACTACTACTTTAGTTGAATGATGGGTGATTATAGAGGCTAGTGTGTTAAACGCTACATACCTCTTCTGTTACAAGAGGGTCTCTATCCTTTCCTACAATCTGGAACGTTCAGCCAGATAGGATTATGTTCAGTTTCCAAACTCCAGCTATCTCACTGTTAAGATTTGGTCCATCGTTGGAGATCGTATTTTAGTGTACCTACTCCAGTTCGGTCATGTGTAGTGGGAGAAGTGTCCAGATACACGAGGAACAGATCACACAAGTTCTTCATATGGATGAAGTGCGGTCAAACGGATGATCACACTGTGATCCTATCTGTACGGTTTCGGAGATGTAATGTACGTAAATGACTGGAGAGGCTTGTCTTATTCAATATAAAGTACGAACATTGATAGCTCCAGGATGTAGTTCAGAGCACAATTCGAGACCATTTCGTAAAATCGAATTGTCAGCACTGATGATTAAGTCATATTAATAAGTGATGAATGAATTTGATTGTGAACAAAAGGGTCTTGAGTACTGTTGGTATGTGGACAGTTGTCTCTCCTCGGTTGACTGCACTGTGATGAGGGATTTCCTGAGTTATCTGTAAAGAAAACCGGAATAATAGTAGTGTTTGCGATTTGGGAACGTGATCCAATGCCTAAGGGAAAACTGCTCGAGGTTGGTTGCATACGGTTTTTAGTGATACTTTTAGATGTGCTAAATCCGTACGTACAAGCCTTAGCACGGGCGACGAAAATCCGCAACATCAAGTGTGCTATTTTTAGTGCTGGGCTTTTGTATTTTCTTTCTGTTTTAAAGCAGCAGTTTGTTGTACAACCTCACTCTCAACCAACGAGGGTCATTTGTGGCGTAGGCGAGATATCCGTCTACCAACCAAAGACCGAGTTTACTGTGCGGGAGCTCTCTCCGTTCAACTTCATGGACGTGGGACATGGCCATTAGGAATAGGGATGGGTGGTCGGTTGATGAGGTAATAAATATTCACCAACTGATGTGGTTGGGACGTGTATTACGTATGATAGTAATGCAGAAGTTCGGCAATGTGAGTTAGGACACAGCGAAGATAATTCGGTTGGAGTCACCATGTTGAAACACCGACTTTGGTGGCTTGGACATTTCTTACTAATGTCGTCTCAACGAATTTCGAAATTACGCATCATTTGCCGACTCTGGGACTGGTTAGAAAAAGCGGTGAGGTCAGTGCATGACATGGTGTCGTGCTATAAAAGAAAGCTGTACAAGACAGGCTTCTGTCAGTCATTGTCGACTCCCTGGTTGTGGTCCTAGAGATAGTGCAACACAATGGCTTGCGACATTGTCAGAAGTGGTTCAGAATAGAAGCCTTTAGTGATCCTGCTGCAACTTTCTTTTACTTCATGAAAATGAGAGTAACTTCTTTGATTGAAAGAGTTCTTTTTGATTGTACTTTTCTAACTGAACTGCTCCTCCCATCATTATTATTTCAGTTTTATACATTAATTTCTGTTCATTGTTGTTCTTCCTTTTTACTGTATTCGTTTCCCTTCCTCCATTTTTTCACAACCTCATTTTCATTGTGTCGCACATATATATTTGGTGCCTCCCTGCACCAATATTTATATTTTCAAATAATTAAATAAAACACTAGCTCTCTAATTTAAATTGTTTATTCCGAATGGATAAGTGTAGGAAGCAATATCTATAAACTGCCAAAAACTGACACCCAATGCATTTAGCAATCATTCAAAATCGTGAAATCAACATAACCACTCATATTGAATATTTCGATTTGTATGTTGTTTCAAACGGAATCTGTATCGACCGTTCCTAATATTCGTTGATACGTATTATTACTTAATTGATGAAGAAAACCAGAAAAAAATTATCAGTGTTGAATAGTTTTTGCGTGACGGGGGCTTCAAAAACAATATATGGTCAATGTTTTTCAAAAAAATGGTTTAATGTTGTATACATTTTAAGAACTATCTGAAGGACACATTAGCATATATATATATATATATATATATATATATATATATATATATATATATATATCATAATTATCGACATTTCATCATATTTGTATATGCAAACACCTCAGGCAGAGTGAGGGCATACAACCACCTCTCTTCATTGTTCCATTCAAGCAGTGGGGATAGACAGGGTTGTCCAATCTCACCATTCCCCTTCAACTTTGCCATCGATGACATTCTGGAAACAGCTCTGATTGCTGTAAGTAATGGTGGTGTGGATCTGTTGCCTGGAGAAAGATTTATCGACCTTGAGTATTCTGATAATATTTTCTTACTGTGCGATAATGCCCAAGCCATGAAATCCGCACTTAATCAGTTGGCAATTAGTGTCCGTAGGTATGGTATGTGCTTTTCACCTTCGAAGTGCAAAGTACTCCTACAAGACTGGCAGGACCCTGATCCTACACTTACCCTGGATTGTGAGCAGACAGAAGTAGTCGAGAAGTTCGTGTATCTAGGTAGCTGCATAAGTGCTGGTGATGGAAAGTGTGATGAGATCAATGGACGTATAGTGAATGCCAGAGCGGCTTATGCCAATCTGGGCCATCTTAGGCGCCTTCGTGATGTTAGTCTGGCTGTAAAAGGCCGGATCTACAACGCGCCGGTGAGAGCAGTTTCGCTCTGTGCTTGTGAAACCTGGCCTTTCCGAGTTGAGGATGTTAGACGACTCTGTGTTTGATCATCGTTGTCTCCGAAGGATTGCTGACATCCAGTGGCAGCACCATGTTAGTAATGCAGAGGTTCGGCATCGTGTGTTCGGGCACAGGAACGATAATTCAATTGGTGTCATCATCTTGAAACACTGACTTCGGTGGCTTGGACATGTTCTCCGAATGTCGTCCCAGAGAATTCCACGTCGTGCATTATTTGCCGACGCTGGGACTGGTTGGAAAGAGCGGAGGGGTGGTCAGTGTATTACATGGTGTAGTGGTATGAAAGAAAGCTACACAGGACTGGTTTCTGTTGGTCCTTCTCGACACCCTGGCTGAGGTCCAACGGATAATGGAACACAGTGGTTAAAAACGTTATCAGATATGGCTCAGAATAGAAGTCAGTGACGATCCTGATGTAACCTTCTTTTACTTTCTTCATAAAAAAGTGGTTGCTTCGTCCTTAACTGAAAGATCTCTCCTGATTGTACGTTTCTGTTTCCCTCGTTATTATTGTTATTACACAACCTTACACTAATCTGTTCGTTATTGTTTTTTTACGC